TTAACCGGAGGTGGGATGAGATTCGTCAGACCGTATGGAAAAAAATCATGGAAAGGCCTGCCTATTAAATGAGTTACGAGATCTTCCGTTGATTATGCCGCTGATGTCGTATCTCCGATGAAATAAGCTTTGATTAATATTTGAAAAATAAAGTTTTAGCATTTCCTGTCATTACCATATAAAAATCAAATTTTCATGTGTTTCTTACGGGGGATAGTGTTATTTTACGAGACGCATGAGTAATTTGGATGTTGTGATAATCATGGACATTTTCTAGATTTAATGATTTCTTATAACATAAGTGTGAACTCATAGAAAAGAGATACACAACCAGTAGAACACTTCTGAAGGTCATCTAACCTTCTTCTTTTGCTTGGCCTCAAACCAACTTGCTTGTGTTTTTGTTTTGTCTTTGAGTAGCCTAGCTAGTAAGGTACTTGTGAATAGAATTTTTGTTTTGTCGGGATAATGGGCTGTTAAAAGATACTAACGTAAATAAAAAGTAGAAAAATAAGGATACTAAGGATTTTATTTTCTGAAATAAAATTCGGGTTTTCTTGTAACTAAAAACAACTATATGACTATATGAGCAAGGATGATTGAAATTGCAGTAGAATGACTCAAATTCTATAAAAAAATGACATCTAGAGTGAAAGATATTAACGACTAACGCAAAATCAATTAGAGCATATACATCGGTGAATCTCTAAGAGAGGGATTCACTAGAATATAATAATATTTTTTTTTTGGTTTTAGGATTTTTTTTTTAATTCGAAAATTATAATTTTTGACCAATCAGAACGTTCATTTTGGGATGATACCGTCTCTTCAAATTCGCCGAGATGATACTATCTCTTCAATACTAAGCTATTTTGTCTTAAAAACTATACTATGAATCCCTCTTGATCTCCTGATGTACATGTTTTTATAACTCTTAAAACTAGAGTAAGTTTTAACAGTTAAAATTCCTAAAATAGCCAAGTTGGAAGTGTTTATTCTAAATTTCTAATTATCTTCTTCTCTAATAACGAAACCTAAAAACTATTTTTCTTCGCAAGATAAAGCCAATATTTTGCCTTTTTGTGTTGTATTTGTGTTATTTTAAACAACTTTTTTCCTGTATAATTGATAGATTTTTAGTATTTTATTATTATAAACTGCATTGCACTTGTAAACAGTAGAGTTAAGGATAGTTTTTCTGACAAAGAGAGATTTGATGTCGTAAATGGCTCATATGCAAACGGTTTTACTAATTCGTCTAAATTGTTTACCCTAATCTCATAATATACTGTTACATTCCCCTCTCGTTATACTAATCTCAGACTTTTGGTTTCAAGTCTTGGTTAACCGCCTCTTCATTGGAGCTGAACGGCATTCTCAAAAATGACATGAACTAGACTGGTGAGGATTCGGAATTGTCATTCATCACTGGACTAGAATAAAATGTACTCTTTCAAAGTTCATCTCGTAATACACATAAAGATCACTAGATCAGGTGGTTCAACTTTTAAGAAGAGATTAGTTCAAAGAAATAAAGTAGCCCACAATCTTAGATACACAAACCTTTTATTTTATAGAATAGTTATTACAACCGAGACTAAAGAAATTATTAACGAACAAACACTTGATTCTTCCGCTATAAACAGCTTTGTTACAAGAACTCACTTCCCAATCGCATGGAACTGACACAAACATATCTGGAGTCAATATGTTAGCTCATTATCCCACGTTTGCATTTAGTGTAGATAGGACATATGCTGTTCTTCTGATTATAGATTCCGGTACAAGGATTAGATCTGGAAGAACGACATGGCGCTGGACCCTTCAAGGTCTTATAGGATAAATAAATATTCATGTTCGATTCAAGGGAGATCCAAAACACTTCTGCTTCACCATCTTCATGAATACCGGTGAGGTTCCCTGAGTTTGCAACGGCAAGGAGAAGGAGGAAGAAGAAGACTATTGGCTTCATCTCTTCAATTGTATATCTCTCTTTTTTTTTTTTTTTGGGATTTTGTTGGATAGGAAAGATAGAAATAATGGTACACTAAAACTTTTGGTTGGTCCTTATTTAATATGAACGATTGATCCGTCACATGCGCTAACATAAAAAATGAATATTTTGTTTGCTGCATGAAAAAAACAGAATATTGTTTTAGAGTTAATTTTTTTTATTCAAAAAGATTATCATTTTACAATTTTAATGTGATTTTTTAAATTAAATGTAAAATTATATTTTATCTAAAAGAGTGATTTTGGTTCATACTAAAAATTGACCAATCAATTGAGTGTATACCAAAAAAAATTTGGAAATTAGCTCTCACTTAACAAATTTTTTCACCCTAATATCTCTATTCCCTTTTGACATCACTACAAGTTACACCTGCAAAAAATAGAATTAGCTGACATAAGCATTAAATGTTTGTCAGTTCTGCTCAGAGATAGTCTAGATAACATTCTGCGCCGCCTGCAAAAAAAATTTTGTGTATCATATTATTGTGTAGTTCAAAACAAAGAAGAACATTGGTAAGCGAAATAACAATAGAAAAAAAATTACGTAAGGGAGTTACAACCTATTTATCACCATATTTATCTTCTCCTGCAACAAAAAAATATTTCTCACAGACAATAAATTACTCAGATGGTTGTTCTTCATCTGTAATGACTGCAATTACTTGTTTTGGAAATTTCTTCCAAGCAATCGTTGCCCTCAACAAGACGATGAAGTTTAGGTAATAGTTTCATCCAACCAACTTCTCTACAACCGTTTTGCTAAATTGATATTCATCACGGTTAGCAGCCTTGGAAAACCTGGGATACAATTTTACGAGACCGAAAACGAACTTTATATCAAGCATACCTACTTAGTTTAGCGCACCTCAATTCTAGGTTTACGGGGGTCCACTTTCAGCAAATTCCTACTGAGTTAACTGAGTTAAATGTTTGTTTTATAGTCATCTTTCAGCGAACAAGGTCCCTTTGATGGTGCATTCACCCAACAAGGTGACTACTTAGACATGGCTGAGCTTGACATAATCATTGGTTTAAGAATGAAAAAGCATCAAAGTTAAGAAACAAAAGATGCAGAAAAACTTCTCTGATTCAAGACAGTGTTGGCGATGAAAAGCTTCTACAATTGCATAAAAGTAAAACCTAAAACTAAGATGAAGTTCTCTCTCAAAAAGATGAAAGAGGCTTAGTTACAAAAGACCTAAAAATGAGTATTTATAGTGTTTTCCCTCTTCTGGGCGTCTAAGACTTGTAAAATGAGTGCATAAAGTGTCTTGGAACTTAGTTGGGCTTCTGAGGCTCGGACAGAGGCTCACCGGGGGTGAAAGGGGCTGAGCCGCGGTGGGAAGAAGCTTTGCCGTGGGTAAAAAGCTTTTGTCCCTTTCCGGACTGTGTTGACTGGCCTTCAGTGAATTGATGATATCTGGAGATCTAATTGTTGGAAAGCTGGTTGTCTTCTCTATAATGTCTCTAAATTTGGAGATGATCAGACGGTGAGAAAGTCTTTTTTGGTTGCCAAACTTCTGGCTGCCTAAATTTATCAAAAAATATACTTTTGCTCCAAAATGCTCCAAATATACTTTTGCTCCAAGTCTGTGGGTGTTATTAACTCCCCCAGACTTAAACTTTTGTTTTTTCTCAAAAAAAGAACTAATTCTAGAAAAGAGGTTTAGAAATTGCAGGAACTAAAAAATATCTCAGAGACCATGCTTCTAAACTAAAGTCAATCATCATGCTCAAATCAGGTGTAGTCTAGAAAATTCTCACCAAAAATACAAGCATAACTAGTCCGTTGATCCGTCATGCAAAAATCTACACACTTAGACCTATCTTACAGTTAACTAGCTCTTAACATTCATTTAAAAGTTTCAGTGGTTCTCATAAAAAGTAATTTAGCAAAGCAATCAAGGGCTAGGTATTCAAAATGGCTTTTTTTTAGGGGTGAAGTTCATGGTGGTTTAGAGTTACCTTTTTTTGGAGAGACAAGATATTATGCAAAACAGCAAAAGAAGATGAAGCTGTTGGATGACCACAGTTTCGAGTCACATTCTTCTTGCCTTAAGATTTCTGATCTCCTTTTTTTAAGTTTTCCTCATGACTCCCTGATTCACACTGGATGTACTCCTAGTTTCTACTGCAATAGAACAGTGATGTAGTTGTAATATAAATGATTCGGAATCCAGAGGACCAGTTATGATTTTGCGAGGATTGAATTAAAGCTAAGACGAAAGATTGTTTGTTGCGAACACTAAAAGGTAATCAGAATGGCAAACAACGATTTAAATTCAAATTAAAACAAGCACTAGATCAAGGTAATTTGCAGGAGTTTCAGAGATGAGAATCAAATGACTATTCAAGACACGACTTAAATGCAGGTCTCGAACTCAAACAGAAAAGCTTATCGATCCACTGTCGTGATCTCGATAACTTTATCTAACAACCTAAATTCTAAACTGTCGTTCGAACTTAGAAAATTGCAGACAAGGATTAACAAGCAGGTTTGATCTGTTCACGATTTGCCTTAACTTCA